AAAAAAAAAAAAAAAAAAAAAAAAAAGTATGTGTATCAAAATCAAATTTGTGCCTTGACTATGGTTGGCCATCATTTTAAGATCAACTGTTTTAAAATTAGGAGTAGTTCCTGCATCCGGCCAACGTTTGCTGAGCAGCGTTACACACTCTAAGTGATGGGACGCCGCTGGGAAGGCAGGAATAACTAAAGCACAGCCTCCCTTTGGAATATCATTTGGTAGTAACAACAATGGATTTCTTGGGCGGTGCCTGTGGCTCAAAGGAGCAGGGTGCCAGCCCCATATGCTGAAGGTGACAGGTTCAAACTCAGCCCCAGCCAGAAACTGCAAAAAAAAAAAAAAAATGTATTTCTTGTACACAAATTACAATTCAGTGTGAGAAGTGCTGTATTAGATGTGCATGCAAAGACAGAGGGTAAGGGCAAGTCTGCAGGAGGTAGAGAACCTGGAACTCCATTGCACAGACCGTCTCACGGGGACATATGTCAGAACCTGCTGCCTGGGAGGCCTTTCCTTGCTCAGTGATATGTCCTGGACCCTTCCATCCTCACAGGTCTATTGATTTTATTCCCACACATCCTCAATACCCTGTCACCTATTAAAGCTCCCACAGTAACATTAAAATTTTATCAAAATAATGTCCTGGTGGCAGAATTCCAGGCCACAAGAGGATATAATGTTTTGTGGACATGGGATCTTCACAGCTCCAGGCTTACATGGGACTCTTGGTGCCCTACTGCCTTGGGATAGTTTCCAGCACAGTGTTCCTTCCACTACCTGCCTCCATGTGGTTCTGTTGTTTTTCCTCTGACCTCTGCTTTTTTTCTAAAATGCTTTCCTAGCTTCACAGACCACTTCTGCCAACATTGGCTTAGCTCTGCTTAATACAAGCCACTCCATTCTCTTTTCAGTTACTCAGATTCAAATGCACACCCCAGGCGTCACTGTCTTGCCTTGTGCACCTTCTCAGTGCCTTTCCATTGGAATACTGAATACTATTTATACCTGTGTTCCTGTTTTGTGCATCTACATTTTTGAAATGTCTTGGTCCATCATGACTTTAAGGGGTTAGACTTTTACTACTTTTTTGTTTGTCTCTTGCAAGGTAACTGTCATAAAATTTTACCTTAACTATGACCTCAATGGATTTGGTTGATCCAAATTTATGAGTTAAGATCTATTCTTTTTAATCTCTTACCAATCTTAGCCTAGATGATTACAACCGCCGGGTGACCCTGTGTAACGGAACCTATGAAGGTTTGCTGAGAAGAAATCAAATGGGAAGAAACAGTGAGAAATTGCCAACTCTAAAAGACATACAAGATTGTCTGTCTCTCCAGAAGTTTGATAATCCCCCTTTCTTCCAGAACTCTACCTTCAGCTTCAGGTGGGTCACTGAGCTTTGCTGGATTGACATTTAGACTGGTAGATTTTCACACCTGTAGTTGTGGTGGACTGGAAGGAAACCCAGGTGCTGGGAGGGGTATATGAAACTAAGTCATAGAATGACGTTTGATAAGAGAAGTTAGCAAGGAGTGAGTGTCAGGAAGATCATTATCCATCCACTTTAACACCGTAGTTTCAGTATCTTCTAACTTAGCTGGTCAAAACCATCCTCTGTATTTCTAGTTTCTGTACATATGTATAGGATCAGCCTGTGGAACTAGGATACTTTATTCAATATGATGGTTTTTAAATACCCATGCTTTTTCTTTTTCTTTTCTTTATTTTTTTTAAGCATTGTCATTAGAATTTATCAACTATAGACTTTAATATTGGGGCCTGAGATCTCAGAGGATTATTATGAACTAGTCTAACTCAAATTATAGCACAGAAGTAACATTGTGATACTTACAATGTAAAGACCTACTGTTAATTTTCCACCACTAAAAAAGACTTTAAGAATGATGGGAAATGTGTATATAAGATTTTAAATGAAGGTGGATAGGGCTCCCAAAAAAGAATGGCGGATAGATTCAAGGTCTACTCCAACCTGAATTTTCTCTCTGTGTTTAAATGATGAAGTTTGTATGGGGCAGATCAGGCTGAACTCAGATGAGAGGTTCTGCCAAGCGGAGCAGGGCTCAGAGTTAGTCCTGGGATTGGACACAGCCCTCAGACAAAGGGTAAAATTTAGGTTTTAAAAAGTAGTATGCTTTTTGTTATGACAAAAATGCTATTAAAGTAGATCGCATGCTCTATAGTTTTAAGTTAGGGGAGTGGTTCTTAATACATGGCGCTGAGACCACCCTGACTGACAACATTTGAGTCTGATGAGGAATGTAGTTGTGAAGACCTAGCTCACACTTACTGAATCAGAAACTCTGGGCATGGGGTGTGAAAAGAAATACCTGCTCTTCCTGAATGATTCTAAAATTTGAGGATCACCAAGTTAGAGTATGGATAATCAGAATTTCCTGAAAATGGGGAGCGATAAAGAGAGAAGAATAAGGGGTGCTTAGAGATATGTTTAAAATGGTGTATATACTGCAGTCAAGCTGAAGGGCTATTTAGTTAAGAAATATGAATATAAGATTATATGTTAAATCAGAAACCATTTATTGATCATAGACCACATGCTGGGCATGGTACTGAGCCCTGGCAACCGAATTCTCCAGGAAACACCCTCTCAGGTTATAAGAGGCAGATATGAAGGCAAATAATTGTTATGCCATCCATAAAAGAGATATAATTCAACTGAGTAGGTACAGAAATAGCATTGATTCAGAGTCCCTTCCCCTTGACTAGGCATGGTGGCTCGCACCTGTAATTCTAGCCTTTTGAGACTCTAAGGTGGGAGGATAGCTTGACCCAGGAGTTCTAGAACCAGACTGAGCAACATAGTGAGACCCCACCTCTACAAAAACTTTAAAAAAAATTAGTCAGGTGTGGTGGCACACACCTGTGGTCACAGCTGCTCAAGAGGCTGAGGTAGGAGAATCGCTTGAGCCCAGGCGTTTGAGGTTGATGTGAGCTGTGATTGTGCCACTGCTCTTAAGCCTGCTGGGCGGACAGAGTGAGACCCACCATGTCTCTTAAGAAAAAAAAATTTGCCTTTCCTGGGATGAGGAGGATTATGGGGCTGATTTTTAGTTTATTAGCTATGACAGAGCTTGCCATATGCTGATCCAATCTCAGACTGGAAGACTATCCTCTAGGCTGGAAACAAAATTACCTTTATGAATCTTTGCCTATTGTCATTGAACTACTGGTTTCTCCCAGGAACGCCTTGGAAGGGTTTGATAAAGCAGACGGGACCCTGGACTCTCAAGTGATGAGCCTTCACAATCTGGTTCATTCCTTCCTGAACGGGACGAGCGCTTTGCCACACTCAGCTGCCAATGATCCCATTTTTGTGGTATGTTCAAAGGTTCAGGAGAGATGAAAAACGTTCTGTCTACTACATCAGACTTATCTGTTTTTCAATAAGATGGTCTGCTGGTGTTTTATCCTCTGTGTGAACAATGTAATGGATGTAAACGTAAATTAACTTTAATCTACATACACCATGGAGATCGTTAGATCGCCTTAGAAGCCCCTAATCAGAAACCCATGCTTCAGGAATGGTTAGCTTTTGGATGACATTGGGCAGGAGTTTACAATCCAGAGGTGACTTCATAGATAGCATAATGAAAATGATTTTTCCCTGGTGAAGTGAGTGGTGGTGTGGTGGATTCACCCATACCGACCACCTTCAGTGTGTTGTCTGTAGGATGGAAAGGTTCTGTTAGCAAGAGATGGGGGAGAGCGGGCAGAAGGTGTGGCCTCACACCTATAATCACCGCACTTTCGAAGCTGAGGTGGAGGGATCGCTTGAGGCCAAGGAGGCAAGACCAGCCTGGAAGGTGCCTGGAGCGATGTTCAGCAATGAGGTACGAAGCCCCTTCCCTCGGATGAGATCAAGGACTTAATTGTCCAACTCTTCTCATGACCATGTCACGGTCGTGGCCTTGTCTGATGTTGATGCTGTATGAAGTTGTTTATGTCCCACAGGAGGACTGGCTAATGGTACTGGGCCAGGTCCTGATGTCAGCTTCTGGGGCTGCTTTCTTTCTCCTTTTTTTCTCCTTTTCTTTCTCCTTTCTCCAGCTCACTGACGGTGGCTTAGGGGGGTTAAACCACATAAATGTCCCTGGTTTTGGCAACTGAGTCCCAACACTGTGTCTACTTCAAAACTTGACTCACCATGATCTATTTTGACATCCATCTGCCTTCAGAGTTGTATGTCTGAGATGGTTTTGAAGCAATTACAAGAAGAAATTTTACCTCTTTTCTTTCTTATTTTGCCAGTATTTTGAGCTTATATTATTATCCAGTTAGATTGTACTGCAATCAAAACTGCCATTTCTCCCCTCCCCTGCCCCAAATTTTCTCACCTTAATGTTCATCTTAGCAACTTGTCTTAGTCTGCTCAAGCTGCAGTAACAAAATGCCACAGACTGGATAGTTTAAAAACTGAAATTTGTTTTTCACAGTTCTGGAGGCTGGGAAGTCCAAGGTCAAGGTGCTGGCTAATTTGGTTCTTGGTGTGGGCTCTTTTTCTGGGCCTTCTAGCTGTGTCCTCACATAGTGGAGAAAGAGAGAGGGAGTAAACACTCTCTGCTGTCTCTCCTATTTCCTCTCCTTCTCCCTCTCTGTCTCCCTCTCCCGCTCCTTCAGACAAGTCTCAGTCACCCAGGCAGGCTGGAGTGCAGTGGTTCATTCATACTTGTAGCTCACTGTAGCCTCAGACTCCCAAGGTCAAGTGATCTTCCTGTCTCAGCCTCCTGAGTAGTTGGGACTACACTTGTGCACCATCACACATAGCTAATTTTTCTTATTTTTTTGTAGAGATGAGGTCTTGCTATGTTTCTCAGCTTGATTTTCAACCCCTGGGCTCAAGTGATCCTCCCTCCTTGGCCTCCCAAAATCTTAGATTCCACCAGGCTCAGCCCACTGTCTCTTCTTATAAGAACACTAATCTGTTCATAGGGCCCCACCCCGACAACCACATTAAACCTTAATTACCTCCTTAGAGGCCCTATCTCCATATATAATCACCCTGGGGGAGCTAGAGCTTCATCATATGGATTTTTGGGGAACACAATTTAGTCCATGCATAGCACAATGTACGCTCAAACCATCAGTTGATAGCAGTTTGTTTTTCTGGACTCCGGGAGGCTACATGACACAGTAAAAGAGGACTTAATTACACATCGAATCAATTTTATTTGGTACTGACCTGTGCAATATTGGGGATATAATGGAACTATGTGGAGACTCTGTTTCCCACTTTGCAAAGAATGGGTCTCAGAACCTGCTCTGGTGCTGAGAGTGCTGTGCTCAGTAGAGGAACTCTTAGTAGATTAGGACAACATGAAGCTGCTCCAGAAATTGTCAAGTATGAGACGCAAATGTTATCATAGAAATAATAATGTGTTTTGTGGTAGTCAGTGGGAAAGAATTAGAGTACAGCGTGTTGGTGTGAATTTCCAAACCTTAATTAAGTTTCCTTCTCTGTTCTCCAAAGCAGAGAGTTGTATCCTAGGGCAATTTACTAACAAGCACAAAGTTAGAGTTATTTCAGAGATGATTTATTATTTTTACTCAACCCGGGGTACAAAAGAAGAAGAAGATGTGAGGAGGGAGAAGGAAAGCGTGGTTTCCAATGACTCTGAGCTTGCCTGGTGGGGGCGAGGGTGGAGAGAAGTGGCTATGTGGGGCTCCTGGATGGATAAAGCATGGTCTGGTGAGATGTAGGAAGTCCTAAGATGGGAGCAGTCAGTAGAGCCGTTCCTTCCTTCTAAAAAATATTTCTCCCTTCACATTTGTGCAGCAGCAGTAAATAAACGGATTGTCAGTGGTATGGACTAATAGTCTCTGCCCCTAATAAGGCAGGGCCTTATCTGTAAGTTTATCTGTGAGAACAGCAGTCTTTGCCATTCTCTGGGATCCTGCATTGTTCAATGGCTCTAACTTGGCATTTCAGATCCCTTTTCTGGCTCCCATCTCAGGCATGAGTTCATGCCAAGCGTTCCTGCTTTCTTTCTATATTAGCTATATATTTATCTGTACTATCCATCTCTAATTACATTTTTAGTAAAATGTACATTGCCAAATATGTAATTTATACACACAATCCAGTCATAAAGAAAAATAGCATAATACTTCTTATCCAGTACTCTAAAACATTATAAATAGAACAAATGGTGTCTTCTGATAAACTGAGGATTATATCTGCAAAATTTTCTCTTCTGCTAAAGGTGATACTAGTACTTTGATTTTCAGCTTCTCAAGTCTCCAGAATTGTTAAACCTTTTTTTTTTGAGACAGTCTCACTATGTTGCCGTCGGTAGAGTACCGTGGAGTCATAGCTCACAGCAACCTCAAGCCCTTGGGCTTAAGCAATTCTCTTGTCTCAGCCTCCCAAGTAGCTGAGACTACCTCTGGCTGGGTTTGAACCCAGCACCCCCAGTGGATGTTGCCTGCACCCTAACCACTGGGTGCTGAGCCGGTTAAACCTTTTCTTCTTTTGAGGAAGTCTACTTAAGTTTATAGGGACTGGCAATATTTTTCTATAAATGGCCAGCTAACTAGCAAATATTTTTAGGCTTTGCATGCCAGATGGTCTATGCTGCAATGACTTGACTCTGCTGCTTGTAGCATGAAAGTGGCCATGGATAATCCATAAACTATTGAATATGGTGTTCCAATAAAACTTTATTTGCGAAAACAGGCTGTGGGCCTGATTTGGCTTTTGGGCCTTAGTTTTCCAACTCCTGCTCTAAAGAATAAATGTCTCTTCTTTGTAATAGGCATAGCTCTTTATTCACATTTTTCTACTTGTTCTAGTTGGAAACCTATATTGTGACTTTATGAAGATGTTAGATGCTTAATCATCTTTGTCTTTATTACTGTTAATGTCTTTAATGTTTAATTTTTTTTCCTTTGATAGCATGTGTCATATATATATAAATAAACAAAAAACCCACAACCTTTCTTTGAAGCCACAGAAAGAATAATATTTTGGCTCTCGTTCCAGAACTCGCCATTCCTTTAGGCTATTTTCAAAGAGTTTTATGCTGAAGCCAATTCAGCTTTAAATGATTTTTCACATATTGAGATGCAGGTTAAAGCGTTTCAGTTAACAGAGTTACAGCTTCTGGATTTTACAGATTCACAAGGCAGTTCATGCAAATATATTGCACATGACATCTATTAAAATTATTTTTTGTGAAATCTCTTCAAGCAAGAGAGGTACAAAGTTGTATGTGATCACAGTAATGAGCCAGAGTCGGCAGAACATTAGAATACAGGAGAAACTCTGAAACAACCTCTGAATTCTAATAATTCCTAAGCTAACTGAAGCAAATGCACACACTTATCGTGGAAAACAAAATTAGGCCACAAAAATGCAAAGTGCCATCTCAACATTAAATTTCGATATAATCCAGAAATGAAAAAAAAAAGAAAAAACCAACAGACTGTAAAGCTAAATAGTTGAGTTCACTGCCAAGAAAGAAACTGCGTTAGAAACTAGTAATTTTCTTCCCAATTCCTAAAGATACTATTCTTAAGAGCATACTTGGATGTTATCTTTTTAGAAAGTATAATATGTTTGGTGAACTCTAAATTCCTTCAATTCTTCAGTGGTTGGGGGCGCCCATAAATTGCACGGTTAATACTCAGTGAACAGCTGGTACTTAGCTTCCACTTTGAACACTGAAATTCTAAATAGACACAGAGGCAGGCTCAGTGCCTGTGGCTCAAACGGCTAAGGCGCCAGCCACATACACCTAAGGTGGCGGGTTCGAATCCCCAGCCCGGCCCACCAAACAACAATGACAGCTGCAACCAAAAGATAGCTGGGCGCTGTGGCAGGCGCCTGTGGTCCCTGCTACTTGGGAGGCTGAGGCAGGAGACTTGCTTGAGCCCAGGAGTTGGAGGTTGCTGTGAGCTGTGATGCCACCGCACTCTACCCAGGGGGACAGCTTAAGGCTCTGTCTCAAAAAAAGAAAAAAAATAGACACAGAGGCAGTCTTACTACTGCTCACATTTCTTAACAGTGTTAATCGACTGGGTAAGACAGGCCCATCGGCTTTAGGAATGTACAGCAAGAGAAAATGAATTTGTAAAAACAAATTTCTTGTGGACGCCCCTAAGTTGGCCCTGTATGATAGATCCCTTCTAACTTGGCTGTTTTAGGCTACTGTGGAGTTAGTGAAGTCAAAGAGTTACAATAACAAGTTAGTATGAATTTCTTTTGAAATTTTTAAAAAGAAACACAGGACATTGCTTTTTTTCCTCCCAAGAGTGAAACATTTAAAAAATGGATCCATTTTATTTTTCTTTCAATAACTAAAATGATAATTAGGCTAA